GTTCAAGCTGTTTATGGTGGATTCCTTTTCTTTTCTTTGACCGCACACTACTTTTTCCATCCTCTGAATGCTCATATTCTTTCAGAACCTTTAATTTGGCATCACTTTCTGCAAGCGCTGTTTCTATTTCAAGTTCCTCCATTTTTGCCTTTATCTGCATCTCTTCAATTACAAGTTGTTGTTTTTTCTTTAATGATGCTGCCCTTGCTAGCAAAGCTGCACGTTTTGATTCTTCTTGTGCATATGCAGATGATACAGAGGAGCAAACAGATCCACTTGTAACTGAATCACACCGCTGCTTAAGCTCATTTTTGTTCAAAGATACCTGTGAGGCACTGTCATGAGGCATAATATCATCCTCCATTTCCACATTGTCATTTTTCTCATTTTTCTCAGCTACAGCAGCTATCCAGTTTTCTGTTTTATTCCTAAAAATATTCACAGAGTCCATTTTAGGCTGAAACCAGTTTTGTTGGTCTGCAATCCTTTCATCTTCAGACAAAAGATCTTGAACTTGAACATTTAAATCATTAAACTCTGCTAACAATTGTGCAAAGTCAAGTTGCATTAAATCGTGCACATTCTGCAGATTTTCATCATCATTCATCAACCTTTCTAGGGTTTTTATATTACTGGTAAGAGCAGATAATTTAGCTCTTCTCAATCCAATAATTCTGTGCAATTTCTCCTCTAAAGCCTTTTCAGTAGGTTTAGGCGCCCTCTTGTGTTCGAAAGCTGCAGTTTCACTTTCGCTTCCTTCAGCCATCTCCATTTAATCAATGCACAAACTGTTTGCAGACGATTAAAAGTACACGCAATACTTTTCTGCATCAACCGTATGCATTTCAGCTTCTTCAAATATGCATTGAGTCATCATATAGCCGAATCAGAGTCCGTTACCTTACTGTTATGCAACGTTTCATACGTGTCAGTCACGTTCCTTCCTGTAAAACAGCTTTAAATCCACCGGAGAAATATCATCCACTATTTATAATCCACGATCGCGAGTCATTTCAGATCACTCAAAGACGATAGTTTAGAGATGAATCTCCGTCCGTCATAACGTGCCACGTGCGCTCCTTCATTTCCATATCCATAGAGCAAGTTTTTTGACTAAATTGTATGTGCCATCGATCCGTCTCTTCTTGTCTTGTTTCTCTGAATTAGCAGGATTTGAACGCGGGTAACATAAGACAGTCCAGTGATGTCATTTCGAACATGTTTAATAACAACTTAACTGAACTATAATACACGGTCAAAAAACTGTCTTGCTTCCATCTTCATGACACAACTTCTTCCTTACCGGAAGTGACATCAGCATATACTCTATATTAAAAATTAAATTACTTTTAGTAATATATTTTCAAGTTGCTTTTTACATTATTATCAATTTAACATAAATAAAACAATGAACTTATGGCTCTTATAGTGTGTATGTATGTGTGTGTATAATTGTTTTTGCCATTATTAGGGGCCAAGAACCAAAGGTGTGTAGGCACCTATTGTATGCTATCTTTTTCTTCTTCTTCCTTCTTTCTTTCTTCTGCGTCTTTTTCTTCTGCTCTGGGAGTCTTTAGCACTGATAGAGGACAGTCTGATCTTCAACCACAACAAATATAGACTCTCTAACTCAAACTCACTAACAAATTTCACTAATGTTTATCTTTATATCTTTTGATCTCAATAGGCTACAGTCAAAATTCTTTTTCCTCTGATTCCTTGGCTCAGTCTAATTCCTCCTATGATGTCATTTCCCATCATGAAAATTTTTTCGAGATTTCGAATTTTTGTAAAAAACTATTTGAAAGAAATCGTCCTAGGCCTTTTGACCGATTTTCACCAAAATTGAATCACATGGGCGAGGCAGTGGCGCAATGGATAGTGCTGTCGCCTCACAGCAAAAAGGTTGCTGGTTCGAACCTTGGCTCAGTTGATGTTTCTGTGTGGAGTTTGCATGTTCTCCCTGCCTTCGCGTGGGTTTCCTCCGGGTGCTCCGGTTTCCCCCACAGTCCAAAGACATACAGTACAGGTGAATTGGGTAGGCTAAATTGTCTGTAGTGTATGAGTGGGTGAATGTGTGTCCCATGGATGTTTCCCAGAGATGGGTTGCGGCTGGAAGGGCATCCGCTGCTTAAAAACTTGCTGGATAAGTTGGCGGTTTATGCCGCTGTGGCGACCCCGGATTAATAAAGGGACTAAGCTGACAAGAAAATGAATGAATGAATTGTATCACATGATCTACAGACCATGCTGACCAAAAGTTATGGAATTCAAGGAGATTAGACAAACCGTTTTCAATTAACTTGCGAACAAATTTGACATAGAGCTTGTGAAGGTTTACTTAAGTTGTTTCCTTCATAACGCATTGATGTATTCACACCAAACTTGGTATGTGTTATCACAGCCATGGTTTGGAGTGAGCTTCAGTGTTTTGGTGCACTGCCCCCTAGTGGTCGGGAGATTTTTTTTTTTAAAAATGCTTTTTTTGCATATAACGTCTCAACCCTTTTTCAAAATTCATAAATTTGCTCTCTTTACATCTGACGGAGCATGTCAAATTAAAAGATGTCTGATTTTCCCAGGTCAGTGATTTTAGAATAACTTTAAAGATTAATATTTTGTCCTGGCGAATTGTTATGAAAAGTCAGTATGTGTCTTCGGGACTGTGCCCTAAAGGTGCTCAAAAAGTTTGTCACAGCACCACCTTTTGGTGAAACGTTATAACGATATTTCTAAAAATTGCTAATATCTTTGGATTAATTATGCCTGTTGTTATGTAAATTGTCTTGATACATTCCTTGGGTTGTCCTGAGAATATTTATACCATTAATTAAATTAACTTCCGGTCCACCATAGCCTTAAGTGAAAAACTCCTACATTGTTTGGCTGATTTAATTCGGATCATCTTCAGACCATGCTGACAAAAGTTATGTAATTTGTGTGGATAGAGGGGTAATGGTTTTTGGTTACTGCACCGACAAATGTGCTGGCATGATGCCAAACTACATCTAAGGCTCTGGGATTAAATAAAGATAATGACACTAAATTTTAGGTCTGTCATTTTTGCCTCACACTGACCACACCATAAAAATTTGGTGACAGCACCTCATATGGGCCAAGAGTTCTAAGACATTCATTAGCCATCATTATATAAATGTCTCAAATTATTCTTTGGTTCTTGCCGACAACACAGATACCAATTATGCCATAATCTGCCAAATGTTCTGTCTGCCATTTTGATTTTGTTCAAACCATTATTTTTTAACTCCTCCTAGACCGTTGGTCCAATCTTCATTTAATTTGACTTAGAACATCTTCAGACCATGTAGACCAAAAGTTATGGAAGTCATATCAATAGACAAAACTGTTGTCATTTAGCATATGCGCAAACTTGATGTAATGCTGCCAGATTACATTACAGGCTGAATCACAGCAATGGTTTGAAACCAAACTTAATATGAGTGATCTTGTTCTGACTTTGACCAAACTACGTCAGTTTGCGCCACCTTCTGGGTAAAATGGACACAATTAATATCAATAGACTACTATTAATAGAACTTAAACTATCAATAGAAATTATACAAAATTTATCAAATGACTTTTGAATAGTTTTGTTTATTGTTATGAGTCAAGATTCCTTGGATCGTACAGAGAACATTGATATAACTTATTCCCTAATTGACACGACTTCCTTTCCATCAAGTTGAATTCGTTTGAAAATCTGTTGTTTTAAACTCTGTTTGCCCAATTTCTACCAAATTTTTCTCAGACCTTGCTGTAAAAAAAGTTCTAGAATTTTCCAGTTGCTCTGTAGATTGTTGCCTTGCTTGTTAATGATGTGGCCGATGGACTGCTTGGCCTCGATAATTGCTGTTTGCAGCTATATTTATTATTATTAATAATAATAATAAAAAACACCCCTCAACAAGGCAGCTCATTTTAATCATTTAAACTGCAAATAGGAGAAACGCATACAGCAAAAATAATAAACAATGTTGGTGGGTTAGTCAATCATACAGTGTTTTTTTTAAAACAGTTAGTGTGTGCAATATACACTACATATGAAATTATGAATATGCTCATTTAATGCTGTATGTCAAATCAAATTATAAGACCTGTATGAAATGATAACTTTTATTTTTTTATGTAATTATATCTTTGTGTCCTGTTTCTGTTTGTTTCTGCAGAACACTTGGAATATGAGCATGCTTCAAACCCAAGATTTAATGAAATCAGCTCAGGCAGCGATGGAGAAGAAGAACCTCAAAGAAGTTATTTTCTCAAAGCTCTGAGATTCCAAGCACCAAAAAAAAAAAAGATTATAAAGTTCATTGAACGCCATGTCCTGAGATCAATTTGATCTGCTCATCTTAATTAACATGATTTTTACAATTGAAACATGTCTATAGCGATGACATATTTACATTCTGTCTTCATTTTCACTGAGTACATATCTGCAGTTTGAAGATAAGTCTTTCTGGGTCAAGCAAGATGAATGTTTGATTTAATATTTTAATGGTTGCCTTCAATACTGATTCACAAATGTTAATTAACCAAAAAGCTGCTAAGCCCCTAAAAGCTTAACACCTAGATAAAGATTCATACATAATCAGATTTTAACTGATTTTGTGATTCAAGACTTCGGCATCAAACATGTAAAACTGTGATGTTTTCAATTGTGATATTTTTTGCATCTCAATAAAAAAGCTAATGCTCAGTTTAGTGTATAGTCAGCTGAATGGAGAGAAACTAGCTTGGTCTTGTAATATGCACATGATTGCAGCGTGGATATCATATGGGCTTCTGTGAGTCCTGGTTTCAGGTTTTCATAATCATACATTATAAACGCTATAGAGGCATGTGCAAACTTTGGACATCATATCAAATTATTGGCTACACAGTTGGGTATAAAAATGCTGATCCAACTTGTGTATTCTAAAATCGTCCAACACAACTAAACCAGAGGGATCTTTTAGACATCTGCACGATAATCAGCAATCATGTCTGTGATGAGCTGCGTAACTGTGATTCTGCTGATCGACCTGGTTTGCTCTGGTAAGATTGGTTCTGCTACCTTAAACTCTCAGGAATGAACTAGAATGATAGTTTTCATAATGCATATTTTTAATTAGACCAGAGATTTCCAAACTTGGTCCTGGAGGGCCGGTGTCCTGCTGAGTGTAGCTCCAACGTGCTTTAACACACCTGCCAGGAAGTTTCTAGTATATCTATTAAGAGCTTGATTAGCTGATTCAGGTGTGTTTAATTAGGGCTGGAGCTATACTCTCCTGGGCCCGGTTTTTCAAAAGTAATCCACTAGGATTTTGGATAAGGGATTGGATCAAATCTTGAAAATGGGTTTTTCAAAAGAAAAAAACAGATTACATAATCGGATTAGATCACGTAATCCAATCTTGGTTTTGATCCGGATCAAACCTTTAGTTTGGGTTTTTCAGACCTTTCTTTTTAGGATTTGGATCACTTTGATCCAAAAAACCTGGATTAAACTGATCCCATCAGAAGGGTGGATTTAGCATGAATTTCATGCCCAAAATGTAATGAAAACTGAAAAAAATTATTAAATAAAAGTTTGGCCTCATAAAATAATCCCCCAAACAGCTGTCAAAATTTACCAACAACAATACATTTTATTCTGTTACTAATTGATAATTTTTATATATATATATATATATATATATATATATATATATATATATATATATATATATATATATATATATATATATATATATATATATATATTCGTATTATACGTGGATTGGTCAGGTGAGATTTAAGCAAGATGACATGCTATAATATAAATACAGTATGTATTATAAAAGCTTTCTTGAGGGCTTGGGTTTTATAATATAAACTTGAGCCTGAATACATCAAAAATGCAATTAGTATTATATACTAATTGATATATATATATTTATCACAATGGAAAATATTTTTATGTTTAGAATATTTATTAGTGATGCATGCAATGATTACGGAATAACAAAAAAATGCAAAGAATGGCAATGCCGGATTTTTGAAATCACTTTCAACAATTGCAAAAAGAGACTGGGCAGAAGTTCAGCTTCATTTGGCAAAGGAACAACTGACCGACCAAACTGCAGCAAACCAAGACCACACTTGAGATCTGCCTCCGAAAGAATACGCTCAGACAAGCTGCTCCCTCCACATCAGATGAGGAAGTCTGACATTATTGTGGAGGTTTCAACATTGTCTTTTTTTTATTCAATACATCTATATTTGAAACTTATTATAAATATCCTCAATGTACAGTGTTGTAGATCTCGGATGAGCGGACTGCTGGAAGAGGATGGGGTGGGGTTTTTCTTGCTTTTATTATTTATTATTATAATTATTTTATTATTTATACAATTTTCTTAGTTTTCATTTCAAATAAAAATAAAGTTATATTTACCCCACACTGGCTATTCTACTTGTTGCTCTTTACATAGGCCTATCTATCCATCTACGTTGTGACTGAGCACTGGTAATCCAGATTTAGTGATCCTGAAAAGTTCCTATCCGGATCAGATTGATCCAATCCAATGTTGCTTTAAAAAACTGGCTCAAAAAGTAAGCTGGATTACATGATCACGGATCGCAAAAACAGGATTACTAAATCCGGATCAATTTTATCCGGATTAAACCTTTTGAAAAACTGGGCCCAGGACACCGGCCGTCCAGGATTGAGTTTGGACACCCCTGAGTTAGACCCTCCTTCAGTCTGAAAGAAATCAGCCATGTGTGACCATTAATTCAGTGTACAACTCATTTTGAGGTTAAACAAACAAACTACAAAAAGCTCATTTCAAAAATGTTTATAGAATTTCTCATAGTGGCTGCTCAGTGGTTACCACTGTTGCTGTATATGGGTGTTTCCCAGTACTGGGTTGCAGCTGGAAGGGCATGCGCTGTGTTAAACATGCTGGATAAGTTGGCGGTTCATTCCACTGTGGTGGCCCCTGATGAATAAAAGGACAATGCAGAAGAAAAATGAATGAAATTGGCCGAAGTGTTTGCATGTGTGTGTGAATGAGTGTTTATGGTTGTTTCCCAGTATTGTGGCTAAAAGGACTTCCACTGAGTAAAACATATAATGGAATAGTTATCGCTTCATTCCACTGTGGCAACCTCTGAAATGGAGATTAACCTGAAGGAAAATAAATTAATTTCTCATACTGTCTAATCTGTTTTTGTGGAACACTACTCTCTAGTGCATAGGTCTCAAAATCAATTCCTGGAGGGCCGCAGCTCTGCACAATTTTGCTCCAAAGCAAACCAAACACAGCTGATACAAATAATCAAGGTGTTCAAGACTACTAGACACTATTACGCAGGCGTGAGTTGGAAGTCGTTGGAGCTAAACTATGCAGAGCTGTGGCCCTCCAGGAATTGAGTTTGAGATTATTTCTCTAGTATATTGTACATCACTGTTTATAGCTTCAAAAAGGTGTAGCTATCATGTGTTAAAGTTATTGTATACCTAGCATAAACAGTTTAATCATGGTTGACAGAGTTGGGACAGCCACTATCACAAAATTCATTTAAAAGCTTGTCATATTAACAATGTACAATTTTATTTTATTACAGTTTCAATGTACTTTAATTTCAAATAATGGATTCTTTGATTAATTAATTCATTTCAAAGTTCAAAGAAATATTTTTGTAAAGGTTTAGTCTAGATATTGTTAAAATATTTTTGTTCAGTTTTTGATAGGTCTGATAAATGACTAAAACATGGTTGCTGCTTGTTCTTTTAGAAGTCTGTATTTATATGACTAATTTAACCAGTTAGTCACCTCAGAATTATAAGATTCTATGTGACATTTCTTTTGTCAAAATTGAGTTATTCACTTATAAAATAACAAATAATTTAAATTGTGAGGTTTTTTATAAGTTGTTTACAATTTTAAGACTTTTTATTTAAAAACAAAAAAGGTGTTATCTACAAAGTCAAACTTTAGCTTGGCTCTAAAAGGTTCTTTCTATTAGCCAACCAGCATTTCATATGCATGCACGAGGGCCAATCATGATCAGCTTTCTTTATCATTTGCCGCATTGCTCAGTGGAAACGAGAACAAAGAAAAACAAAATTGATGGACTAAATAATGCCGCACCAAATACAAATAAAAGAAACCTGAAACAAAAAAAGTTTAAATGTGACGATTTAGAAGCGTTTTTCACATTGAGATTTACATTGTTGAAAAAGAAACAGTTTTAAAATGTAATATATTAAATGTAAAACATTTTTGTTTGAGTATATAGTCAGTGCAACATTTTTCTGTGTTTATTAAACTCATTTGCTCATTGTCTGTTTTCTTTTAAAGAGTTTTCATTTCATAAAAATTTTATATAAAGTATATAGTTATAATAAGTATATAAGTATATATTAATGACATAGAATTAGCTGCACTGGACAAATATTAAGCACAGCCTTATATGCTTAATTTGAACAAGAAAAAATATTTATCCTAAAACATTAATTAAATGTTATAGAAAGCAAAAAAAAAAAAAAAAAAAAAAAAAAAGAGAGAGAGAGAACTTTCTCTAACATCAACATATTGTTAACCCAACAATTTTTTTTTATCTTTTTTGTTAAATTAATAAGCAGACTGATTGTGTTTCTTGATTAGTAATGCTTCAATGATGAAGTGAACCTTATAATTCCAAGTGGAAAATGACTCTTTAGAAATAGAAGCTTCTATCTACATTTGCTCTGTTTTTTATACCCCAATTTGTAAATTTAAGAAAATTTTGATAATTTACATTTAGAGTATATTTAGGGTCTCTGTCATGTTAATGTATGAAATAGAACTGTCACATGCATACTGTTTGTTATATGGAATACATAAACTTTAAAGCTCGATATCGCAAAATCATTTAGAACGCAAATAGAACCTTATAATTTTAAGGCGATCATATGCAATAACAAACTTTTATTTTGGATTTATTGACATTGTAATAACATTGTTATAACATGGTAATAACATCTGAGATTTAGAATGTAATTAGATTTTTATTCTAGTATGTAATTACTGTGTCATTACATTTTAATTACTATGTCATTATGTTGTAATTACATTGCTATTACATTGTAATTATATGCAAGATTATATTTATAACCGTTTCTTTGTATATTTCAAGTACTCTGTGTATTTATATGCAAGTATAAACAGTTCATATGTAGTTACAAACTTTTAGTTTGGATGTAATGACATTGCAATTAGATTGTTATAACATTTTAACTACATTTGAGATGTAATATGTGATTACAAGTTTTTGTAATTGTACTTACATCTAAGGAAATATTTCTAAGTTTGTATTTTTATTTTTCCTGTTTTTCATGTACATTATTTGTGTATTTATACTTAAATATTTGCAGTAAATACGTAATTACAAACTTTTTTAGATGTAATTACTAGGTTTTTTATTGTAATTATTACATCATTACATGTAATTACATTGTAGTTACTTTCAAGATAACATTTATAAATGTAATTATTTCTTTGTATATTGCATGTACAGTATTTCTTTGTGTTTGTCTACAAAATTATATACAGTACACGTGTATTACAAACTTTTATCTTGTGTTCAATTACTGTGTTGTTACATTGCTATTACATTGTAATTATATCCAAGATAATATTTAAACATGTTTCTTTGTAAATATCAAGTACTGTGTTTGTGTATTTATACGTACATATATGCAGTACATTTGTAATTACAACCTTTTAGTTTGGAAGTAATGACATTGTAAATACATTGTTATAATACTGTAGTTACATCTGAGATGTAATACAAACTTGTCTTGTGTGCAAGCACTGTGTTGTTACATTGTAATACTATGTCATAACAGAGTAATTACATTGCTATTATATTGTATTGACATCCAAGCTAATATTTATAGCCATGTTTCTTTGTATATATCAAGTACTGTATTTGTGTATATGCACAGTACATATGTATTTACAAACATTTTAAATTTGATGTAATGACATTGTAATTAGATTGTTATAACACTGTAGTTACATTTG